CCTCCCCGCGATGAGCCCAACAGATCCAATCTTGCTAAGGAATGGATGGTACGTGGCATGATAGGCCATCTTCGGCATCAGGTCAAAGGATGTTGCTCTGCACAGGGCATGACTGCAGTTCGGAAGGTTGATGTAGCTGGTGACCCAGCCTCGCTCCACCATCAATGCGAACCGGAGCACAGGACAGAAGCAAGAGAGATCAGCAGGCTCGGAGTGATCAGGCAACAAGCCTATGTGCATCGGAAAGGCGCTTCGGGCAGGAGTGCGCGACACGGTTGAGCGTCAGAACAACGATCCGTTCAACGCATTCAACAATGCGCGCATCGGCATCACCATGAAGGGGCTTGAGCAACTTACAGTATTCGCCCAGATGAGAATCGCCAACCCTCCGAGGTCGAAAGCCATGATGCAAGGCGGATCTGGGTTTGACGGCACAACAAATTTGCTAGTCTTTCCCAGCTGAAGCTGCGGACGTGTCTCGTACGACTCAGCGCTTCGTGGCATTCCAAGATCGCTTCTATCAGCTGGATGAAGCCTTGCTTTCGCTGTCTTCCGCAATGGTATGACGTTGGAGATCCTGGCTTTCAGCGGGCAGATTGTCAATGCAGCGGGCGCGGCTGCACAGATCCTTGCCAAAATGGTTGGCTTCTTGCAAGAGGAGAGTCATTATGACCTCGAGCGGGGAGAGAGTCTACCTGAAGCCATCCTTCCACAGGGTGAAGAGCTTTGCATCCCAAAAGGGCCTGCAAGCTTGTGTGGTCGTCAGCTGAACCTCATTGCGAACACCCGCTTTGCCAAGCGCGTGCCGGTTCGGTACAATGTCGAGGAAAGAACCGGATACTACGACTTCCTCTTGTTGTCGCCTAACCAGGTCAGTTTCTACCTTGCGGGCTGGGTTGAGGTCCAGAACGGCATCCGGCTCTACGGATGGCCGAGATTGTGCATTGCAGTGGCAGGTTGAATAAGTCTTTCTTTTGCATTTTCCTCCTTGGCCGGTAGGACTGGTAAGAGCAGTTTATCTGCTCTTAGTCCATGTTTTGCCTCCCGGAAGGGACGGCCGACGTAAAGGGCTGACCTGAAGGGCGGTGCCGCCTTGGTGATGAATCACTGCTTTCGTGACTAAGAGCTCTGCTACGCTTGAAGCGGAAGAGACCAGTCCAAGATTTGCTTTGCATTCGCAACGCAACGTTTGGGTAGTCACTTGTACTTCTACTATCGCCTGTCGTCGCTGCCCTCAGAGACGCGGGGCGTGTTTTGATCGTACTTGTATCTTAGTCTAGTTGACTTACCTCGCTGCGTGGCTCAAGCACAAAACAGTGTGTGTAATTTGGTGCGTTGTTGCACTATCTGTTAATACCTGCAGCCGCACTGTTGCCTCAGGCTCTTAAGCCCAGACCTCTACACCCCTTTCAGGACTCCAATACACCCCAAAACCGAGCGAGCTCAGAACCCCTACTTCATCCCTAAAAGCCCAAACCTCCCCTTACTTCCAAAGCCCTAAACCATGCCCTTGAGCCGACCTCAGAATCCTCGTGCTGCACGATTTCCTCCTGGACCAACCTGCTTGTGGCCGCGCCGAGCAGGAGCCGGAGACGAGCTCTTCGTCGGATCTACCTAGTTGTTCTGGTCTTTGACAAACCTTGCTTTTTGGTTATAAGTAATATAAACACCAAATAGAGTAGAAGGTGTTTTTGGTTCGTAACAAATTGTGTTGTATTAACAGATTGTTTTGTTTATATCAAATGGTAAATGGTGTTTTTGTTTGTAACAGTAGAAGGACAGGTGATTTTTGTTTACAGCGAATGGCGTTTGTTGTTCAAAAGTGTTTATAGATAAATGTTTTTTATTTTGTTGTTTGTTTGTTTGTTTGTTTGTTTGTTTGTTTGGTTGGTAATAGCTGTTGTTTGTTGTTGCTGCTGTTGTTGTT